TCGCTGTGATGACTGCAGACACTGATCGGCTGTAACAACCAAAAACTTACTCTCAAGATGCGTATATAGACTGCATACTAAGAGGATTATGGAATATGAGAATGAATCATCTTTCTCGTACATGTAGCTCAGGATAGAATGACGCTCATTCAAGCATATGTGATTCTTTAAAAAAGTATTCGCTATCTTATTGTGCGCAATAAGAAAAGGGATGAAATATCATATAATGCTCATTATATAATATATATATATACGGTGTCTGGATAGTGCTACATAGTTACTATGATATATGTATGACCCATCGGATCGTATTTAATACGATTGCATATACTATACTAAAACATACCATAATATAATTGAATACATATTTACTTCTTTATTCTCAGATATACTATTGATTATTATGGACTTACATATACTATAAGTATATGTACTATATATAAAGTAATTATCAGGATTATGCTATAAATATAATATATATATATAATATAAATGCATGCTATCTAAGTTATATGTGTGTGTGATAGCTGTGGTGTCGCATGGGTGTGTGTGCTGTCGTGTGTGTGGGTCGTGCTGTGTTGTCGCCGACTGTGTGTTAGAATGAACCAACACTAAATCACGCTCTTACTGTTAGTATATTGTGGGTGTTGTGAATAGTTCGTATATTTGTCAGTATAGTAACTAATCATCACCCACAGCATAAGCAATAACTATAAAAGAAATATGATTCAGATTGTAACTCACTCCTCTTCACTCAGATGACATCGATCTATATATTGCCCCTTCTCTTACATATTAATTATAAATCTATATGACGAAGAGTTGTAATTAAGCAATGCTGATTGCCGGAATCTCAGGAATATGCTATGTGTTCACTCACTAGCTCAGCTCAGTTGTGAGCGTGACTTATCATAGAGAAAATTCCTTTTGAGTTGCCATTTCTGATATATGTTTAGACGGGAGAACAATCGATATACTAAGTGTACCACATCCCAAATAAATACGAAATACCATATTGCATTAAGATTAGATATAGTGACCAAACACTTTTTAATAGTTTTGAGCTGAATGACTTAGCCATACTGACAGTTTAGATTTTACAAACTATGAGGAAAAATGTTCTCACGTGGAATAAAGTATATGCGAGCAACCAAAACTGAAACAGATAATGGAAGTACTGTCAGCAAAACATGCATTACTTGTTTACGCAATCTGTAAATTCTTAATAGTACATCTTGTATGATGTAAAGCCTATCATGTTCTGGAAAGAGTAATGTTCATTTTTGGTGGTGTATTTGCATCGTTTCGAATCGATGAGGCAATTAAAAATGTCTTGTGAATAATATATTTTTTACTTGTATACATAAAGGGTTTTAGACAGCGTTAGCCTGGACCCAGTCAACGAAGTAGGCAACCTCGGTGTAGACGCCAGGGTAGTTGGGACGGGCACAGCCGTAGCCCCAGGACACGATGCCGGCCAGGTAGGCGGAGCCGGTGTCAGAGCAGGCAAGGGGGCCGCCAGAGTCACCCTGGCACGAGTCCTTGCCGCCCTCGGGCACTCCGGCACAGATCATGGAGTCGTCAATGTCGTTCTGGCCATAAGCATCGCGACACTCTGCGTCAGACACGATGGGAACGGACACCTTCTGCAGGACACTGGGGGTGCTTCCTCCCTCGGAGGTGGTGCCCCAGCCGGACACGATGCAGTCGCCAGAGGCAGCGTGACCTGCCTCGGGAAGGGCAATGGGGGCCACGAACTCGTTGAAGCTCAGAGGCTGAGACAGCTGGAGCAGGGAGATGTCGTTGCTGATGGTGAAGCCGTTGTAGTCCTCGTGTTGGATGATCTTGGAGAGGACGACCGTCTGCTCGTTGCCCTCATCCACGTCCCTGTTGTGCTCTCCAGCAACGACCTGCGGTCAACACCAATCAGTTGATGGCAATGGAATTGGCAAACGAGAAGTTAACAAGTGAATGTCTTTTCTCAGCTGAAAAAGGCTTTTGGTATCGATGCGAGACTCACCTGAAGGTAGTCGGGGTTGTTCATGTCCTCGCCCTGGACGCAGTGGCCGGCGCAGATGGCCCAATTCTCGTTGTAGATGGAGGCGCCGCAGAAGTGGAAGGCGAAGCCGAAGGAAATGTCCTGGAAACTGAGCTGGTAAGGCAGCTCTCCGGGAGTGACGTCAGATCCTCCGACGATCTTGTTGAGACCGCGGCGGAAGGTGGGCTTCCTGGAGGGGGCGGCTGTGAAAGACGGGCGCTTGAGAACGGTGTCGTGTCATTGCTGCTTTAACTTAATTAAATGTTCGCGCTTAGTGCATTACATCTGTTGGCTTACTGGGACTGGAGACCAATCCTAGTGCAAGGGAAAGGAAATGATGTGGACCCACACACTGAAAAGGGACCCTCACAGAGACAGAGACCCTCAGAGTAGGCGTCGGGATATGTTACTTTTTTAAGCGCTACAGAATGGTATCATTACTTTCATATAAAGAGTTAGTGATACCCTTATTTGTATTCCTCAGGATTTCAATATTGCTCAGTTGATGTGTGTGTATTCAAATGTATACGTGTGCATGTGTGTGTATTCAAATGTATACGTGTGCATGTGTGTGTGTATTCAAATGTATACGTGTGCATGTGTGTGTATTCAAAATGTATACGTGTGCATGTGTGTGTATTCAAATGTATACGTGTGCATGTGTGTGTATTCAAATGCATACATGTACATTATATATGCAGTATATTACACACCCGTTCCACGAAGGGGGAAAAGTACAGACGGTCATTCCAAACATTGTAGCTGACCCCTTCCCTGACACCTTCTCCCCCTTCCTCTATAACACAGACGAAAACCAACCCACGCGTGACCTACCGAGGGCCCCGGCGAGGAGCAGGCACAGCACTACAGCCTTCATGGTCGGTTGCTGGTGCTGAGGGAAGGCCACGACGCGATTTTATAGCAACAGCCTGTACCAGTGAAGGTTGTTATCACGTCACTGTGGGATTTTCCCCAAATATGGTTACTGTCATGCTACGGTTTGTCGCTTATTTTTCCGTTTGATTTATTATTGTCATTGTTATTTTTATTTTTATCAAAATATTTTAACTTTTATTATCATTACAGATTTCATTGTCATTATTTTCATACTAACGATACTTACTATTATTACCATCAGTATTATTATTATTACTAATAGTAGTATCATTATCATCATAATTGCCCTTATTAATATAATTATTAGTATCACAATCATCGATATCATTATTACTGTTATTGTTATCCCCGTCGATGGGTTCCTATCATTATCATAATCATTGTAAATTCTGAAATTTCATATTACAACTATTCTTATATATTTGCCTTTAACTTCATAGCGTCCTGTTCTTAACTCACAGTTGAAGGGGAGTTTCAGACAGAATGTCAGTGGTAAATGGCGAACAGAAAAGGCGATTTCATGCAATATGTCAGGTTTAAGTTGATGTGAAAAGTTCTCAGTTCTCAAATACCTGTAAACACTTTTTAGAGACAGTGCTTATTCAGTGCTGCACACACTATTTGTTTATTCCCCGATCCAACCAAGGCTAAAATCCCTATTTGTAACTTTGAAAACACTGGAAATTATCAAAGGTTTCCCAGAATATTTTCAGAGTATGTAAATGTACGTACACAAATATACATGTACACATAAAAAGAAATACATGCACTCAAAAAGTGCATTATCTGTATGGAATAATGTATATTATGCATTATACTACAGATATTCCGAGATTGCATTTAAAGTCTGACGACAAGCTGCTGAAAATTAACGAAACTATGTATTTCAATCATTATAGAAGGACTAAGGAAAATAATTGTTGTCCTTTGGTATAAGTATTCTAATCTTGGGAAACTGAGGTTTGAGTACTCGTTTCGCGTATGAAATCGCCGTCTAAAACTAATAAATAATAAATAAATGAATAATTTTGGTAGCATGAAACGATCTTTCCCAAATCAACCATAAACAACGGGGGATTTCCAAGCTAGGTACAGGCAGGTAAGCAGGTGGCTGTGAGAAAAGCGTGAGGGACCAGCTGATAACACTTCCCTGCCTGAGCTCTAATATATATAGTTCTTTCGACCTCAAAATTCTCACCAGTGCCCAGCCATGAAGTCCCTCGTGCTCTGCCTGCTCCTCGCCGGGGCTTTTGGTAAGTCCTATCACATTCCTTTGCTGTAATGACCTCTTAAATAAGGGCTTGGGATAGAGGCAGAATAGGTATGGTATATTCTTTTCTTTCTTTCTTGTGGGGGGGGGGTAATAAGGAATTGAAGAGTGTATTGCAATCATATAAGCCGCCTTTGGCAATCTATACGGAAGCCTTTCAAATCATATGTAACACTACCACACAAATGCCTTAATCATGACATGAATGAACAAAAACTTCAGACAAGTTCATTGCCTTTTTTGCATGACGAAAATATAACTATTACTTCACGTTCCCCAGCCGCCCCCTCCAGGAAGCCCACCTTCCGCCGCGGTCTCAACAAGATCGTCGGAGGATCTGACGTCACTCCCGGAGAGCTGCCTTATCAGCTCAGCTTCCAGGACGTCTCCTTCGGCTTCGCCTTCCACTTCTGCGGCGCCTCCATCTACAACGAGAACTGGGCCATCTGCGCCGGCCACTGCGTCCAGGGCGAGGACATGAACAACCCCGACTACCTTCAGGTGAGTCTCGCATCGATACCAAAAGCCTTTTTCAGCTGAGAAAAGACATTCAATTGTCAACTTCTCGTTTGCCAATTCCATTGCCATCAGCTGATTGGTGTTGACCGCAGGTCGTTGCTGGAGAGCACAACAGGGACGTGGATGAGGGCAACGAGCAGACGGTCGTCCTCTCCAAGATCATCCAACACGAGGACTACAACGGCTTCACCATCAGCAACGACATCTCCCTGCTCCAGCTGTCTCAGCCTCTGAGCTTCAACGAGTTCGTGGCCCCCATTGCCCTTCCCGAGGCAG